TATCCAATGTCAACATTAAACATACCTGAAGCAATTATTTTTCTTCTTTTTTTTAATCGTTGAAACCTTGCAACATTTTGATGAATTTGCTTCTCGTTACATATCGTATTTGGTAGAAATAATGTAGGAGCCCAGTCAGGGTTATTCTGCTCTGATGAAGGAGCGCCTGTAAACACAGTAAAAGCAAATGTTTACGTTTACACGATCGCTAATTGTGAAGTTCGTAACAATCTTCATATGCTTTTAAACGAATTCTTGCATACTTGAAATGAAATGCCGCAAACACAGCCTACTTGAAGTTTAAGGTTGCCAGTTTTTTCGAGCGATGGCTGACACCCAAGCTCCATGCTGAGGTTCTTGTTTTGGGAAGCGAGACATCTTAATTTTGGATAATAAATTCGTCCCAGACTGCATGCTGCAGCCTACTGCTACACAACATGTACCACTTGATGTCATTTCAGCGCAGATTATAAAATATTACGTTTGCAAGAAGAGTTCGGAACAGATATTGTTTACTTGTGCATGCAAGGAAACAAAGCGAACCGGAAGTATCAATGGTCCAGGATGTTTTTATGCTGGTGCTGCCATCTGGCATGATGAATACAGTCAATAAGGAAATGAGCAGGTGTTAATACTTCAAGATCATCTGGATCCACTGATAATGGGGAAATTGGGCGACTTTAAAATTCTCTCGATTTGATTGGTGATGGTGAGAAACTTCTAATGTCAAGATTGTACCACCTACAACTCTTGTTAAGTGATACTTGAACGATTTAACCAGTCAGTTGCGCTGTACTTCCATTGGAGTAACCGGTTTTAGTTAAACTGTTGCGCAGTACTCCAATTGGTGTAAGTGTCAATTTTTTTTTGTAATTAACTAGTTGGTCACGATTTAAGTACTGATTGGCATTTATCTACATAAACTAAGTCTGTTTCAACGAATAAGATTTTTGTTACCACCCTGCATTTTTAAATTTACTCACAAAACTCCTCCTTTCCATGTTAAGTCTATGGGAGACTCTTTTTTCGTTCATTGGACAATAAAATTTTTGTTTACAAGCCTGTTGAACTCCAATTGGTATATTGTTGCTAAATGACTATGGTGAATGAGCATCGACTTTGGTTTGCAGTGTGGGAACTTTCTTGGAAAGAGTTATTTTTGTCGGAGCTACATTGTCAACTATAAACGTAAACAATCAATCATAAATCAATAGTCATTTAATTTTTAGCTTGAATTTAATAAAATCTTACATATCTTTATCCTATTTAACGAATATTAGTGTTTTTAGGATCATTCAGTTGTAAATTTTTCTAATAAACTAAGTACTTCAGGTTAAGACCATGCCCCCTAGCAGAATGGCACTTGACCTAGATTTTGTAGCCACCATCCCTCTCAAAAGCCAAACTTCGTTATATATTATTAGTCGTAATATCGCTTTACATGAATTTAGAATGCTGCAATTTTTTTGTTTTAACGAATATAGACATATCTAAGTAATGTATATAACTATAATCAGATGTTTATAAAAAATTATTTATTATTATTTTTTTTAATTTGAAATTTATATAAATAGCTATATCTTTTTTACTTTATAAGAGATAATGTAAAAACAATCGTTTATGAAATTGCCATATAAAGTTGTTGGCTAATTTCTACGTTGATTGAAAAGAAAGATTAAAAAATAAATTAAAGTAAAAATACCGTTATATCTTGAAGTAGCCAAATTTCGTTTGCAGTTGTACTTTGCCAGTCATTCATTCTGCTTTTTCTTTTCATCCCTTTTTGTGTTGCCTGTAATATTACTTCTTCTGCATGTTTGTTCGTCTCTGCAGTGATGTGATTAATGATATCTTCATTTGCAATGCACTCAAAGATTTCTAAAATTTCTTCTGGATTGTTCACTGGAATTTTGATGCCTTCATCTCCGGTGAAATCGAATTCCTCTCTGCTTTGAGTGCTTGATGTCGTCCAAGATGATGTGATAGATGTTGTTCCTGATGATGTGCTGGGACCAGTATGCAATACAGAATCTGATTCCGAGTCAGAATCAGATGCACTCCATTCTGAGGGACTATAATCATCTGAGTCTGAATTACGAAGAGACTTGTCAGAAGAAACATAATTTAAAAGATCTAAATCGATCTCTGAATCATCTATCTTTTTTTTCGGCATATTAAAAAAATTCACTAAGAACTTCACAGCAAAAATTCAGAACTAAATTTCTACGTGTTACCTATTTGAAGTAAAGTGCATAAATGAGCTACACGATTGGTAAGCAGAAATGTTTTCACAGGAAATTAAAATTTCAACTGTAAGTAATTACTATAGCACCAAATGTTCTATATAGATGCTTAATTTTGATGGACGTTTCAATTAGTAATTGCAATTGTATCCTATGTTTTGTGCAAATACTCAGAATTTATTGAAGGTTTTTATTAGTACTTACTTTTGCACCAAAGGTGTTGTATAGATGCTTACTTTTGATGGACGTTTCAATTAGTAATTGCAATTGTATCCTATGTTTTGTACAAATACAGTGGGTGATCGGTTAACGAACATAATCCGTTCCAAGACTTTGTTCGCTATCCGAATTGTTTGTTAACCGATTATCGATTTACCATAGGTTTCTATGGGAATTTGATTAATTGGTTCTGGAGACCCCCCAAAATAAAAAAATATATACTTTCTTACTACCTTTATTTATATGTATTGATGATAATAAAAATACATACATACATAGTCTTGCGTTTTTATTAGTCGTGTTTTTTTTCTGTTTGAAAGGGTTAAAGAATCTGTCTAATGTCGATTGCTTTTCTCTCTTCTTCAGGATTTTTCGTAAGTAATTAATAGCATTGCAATTGCAGAAATCCCCAAGCCTTAACCTGGTTCGGATGCCATTCTAAGACCGTTGTTCTGACATCCTCCCACTTTTTCAAAGGATCTTTAATATAAGATATCAGCATTAATCCTCTTTTTCAGAAGAAAACATATTTCGCCGAGTTTCTTAGTGTTCTTCATTCAAGAGTTCTTGGCGTTCTTCTGTCATCAGATCCATTTCGTGTTCCATTATGAACTGTTTGATATTCTTTATTTTTCAGATGTGATTTTTGTTACTCCTTTAGCTGCTTGAGTCTTCTTGATTATACAGTATGTTTCTTAAATAAGATTGAACTTCAGCCTACTGTAGACCTGTTTACGCCATACTGCCCAGCAACATTAGNGATAAATATGGACGTGTAAGTTACGGTTTATTTATAAACTCTTTATTTTGAGATTATTGTGAAAAATGATACAAAAATTCTCTACACGAAACTAACCACAAAATCAAATAATTAATATTTAAATTTAGATATTTTTAATATTGTTCGTTCTAACCTTTTATCAATATTGGACGTTGCTTCGTCCATGACAAGAACTTTATTCTTACGAAGAATCGTTCTGGCTAGACAAATTAACTGTCTTTCTCCCACGCTGAAATTTCGTCCTCCTTCTGATAAATGTGTATCCAATCCCCCAGGCAATTTATTGATGACTTCTTTTAATTGTACCTTTAATTAATTTAAATAAAAATTATGAACAATTATTAAAAGTATTAGAAAGTGAAATAATATAGTAAATTGTAATATTTAAATCATTTATAACCTGTTCTAAGGTTTGCCACAGCATTTCTTCTGAATATTCATCGAAAGGATCTATGTTTCTTCGAAGAGGACCGGTAAATAACATCGGATCCTGAAAAATTCGACACGCTGTATTAATTGCTTGTATTTTACAATTCGTGTCAATACGACCTTTCCGCTTTACAATTATGACGAAGGTAAATATTGAAGTTTGTTATTTCATGAATTATTGCAGAAGACATACTCTTTAGATATTCCGACATATCATTCAGGGCGATTTAATTTGCTCTGGACATTCTTGAAAACTACTCCCTTTTTCCTGAGTAGGTATAGAAGGAGAGTGTAGTCAGAAAACTGTGGCCTGAGAACATTTAAGAGAATCTGCAGTGGTTGCAATTTTAAAGATTGGCTTAACTTGCTCATTTCGTTGTATCATTCTCTAATCGTATATCTGTAACGCATTTGCAAAAGTTTGATTACTTGTTTTCACTTATTTTATCAAATCGTTTTATATAAGATTGAATTTCATGTATTCAAAGTGATTGCTATCATTAGTTGATTTTTGTATTCAATTTGTTATTGAATTAGTAATTCAGTAATTTTCATTAATTTGGCAATTTTTCGACCAGTGTAGTGTCAGATAATGAAAAATGACGGATTATCACAAGTTTTTGTACTTTTGCAACCGTTGTCTTTACAGAATTGTTGTACATATTGTAACAGCGTAAGCTACTGCAGATTTTCGATTTGTTCAATTTCTATCGTTGTGAATATTATATTCTTACATCAGATAATCGATTTTCTGACCTGTATCAATGCCACACCCCTTACTTTGTTTTCATTTCTAATACAGATGTTTAGCACACCCCTGTGAGACCGAGGGTTTTGAAAGCGTAATTTTTTAGTTTAAGGGGTTAATGACCTTTTTCGAAGTGTAGACATTAGTGGATGAGAAAAAAATCATCGCAAGTTCTCACGGAAATAGATTGGATGCCGACTCTTGCACTTCGACAAGTTAGGAAGGAAGAAAGGCAAGTCATCGCGCGTCTGCTAATTAGTCATCGTAACGAGTGAACAACCAGTTGGCTCAGTGGCAACGACGATCGTATAAAAACGATCGTTGTTGGAAGTTCAGGGCAATCGTCCCTCAGAGCAATCATCCCAGGAAGGTCTGAGTACGAGCTTCTCCTGTTCTGGTCCTGTCCGAGGAGAAACAGGTAGAAGAAATAAGACTGTTCCAACTTCTATAGTCAGGAATAATTGTTGCATACCGTCATCAGACAGCATATTGAAGGATATCTGAGTGCAGCAACCTTTGTAAACTCTCTCACTCTAGAAGTTAAACACGTGACAAGGTTACTAGTTAGATCGCCGTTATAGATAGATTTATGTTTTTTCCGCATCTAAGCATTAAATCAATAACTTCCTTATGTATACTCCTGTAAATTAGCATTACTTATAAACTCCTTCTTTATTTGTTTAACCTGTAAACCTGTCTATCATTGCTCGCACAGACACCAGTCGACTTTTTCAACCCCGTCGCCACTCGATAGAAAGCCATCCAGTGAAGCTGCGATCCGACTGTTAGAGGGCTCTGTCCCCTCGCCCGTATTCTCACATATTGCGATACATTCATATTATGATAGATTTTTCAATGCTGAATAATTTCGAGTTATCGGAAACTTTTCAAATACACAAACTAGCAGACTTCACGCGATAATTCATCAATTTCTCAAGAGACAAAAAAGAATCATCGATTACAATTATTTACTGTTGGGATGTAGTTGACTTTTATGAAATTTGTACTTTTTCAATTAAATTTTATTAAGAACATAGCTATCAATTACAACCTAAATGTAATTTTAACAAATAATTAAAAAGCAGATCACCGTATCTATCCTACCATGTATAAATTGTACTTGCTGTTCAAATAATGTCTTTATACCGGTTTGTAATTATTTTAATATTGCGACCAACTTCTGTCTTACCCTCTTGGGATGCCGTGTGTCGTATATGACACGCAATTTTCCTTCCAAAGAATGAAAAGCAGCTCTGCTTTTTTGCTTGCTAAACAATTATGTTAGTTATACATTTTGTAATTAGAGTTTAGTGAAGCTTATTAAGACACATGCATTTTACTGTGACAGAAACAAAAAAAAATATAAGTGATTGTCTGAGCATATGTTTTTAAAAGTGATCATAAGTATAACTGCTTGATGTCAGTATTCAGTTTTCTCTATTTCTATCGATTATAATTTTTACAATTTATACATATTCTTGTTGAGGAGGCTTCTAAGACTATATAAGAGTATTTTTAAAAAACTATATTAATAACAATATTTTATGAGATGAGCTAACTTTTCAACGTGTCGTATACGTCACATTGGGTCTCTATGTTACAATAATTACGTTACAGTGTATGAACTGTTTTCGTATTAGCAAGTTATTTACTTTTATAGATATTTGGTGATTTGGACCGCAATATGCATTCTATTATTTATTATCATTTTTTATTCAATTAATTTATTAAACAAATAATTATTTATTTTTATTCATCACAAATTTCTGTGAATTTTTTTGTCTACTTATTTATTTGGTCTGCAAGATTTTTTTTATTAAAAACTTATAAATTCTTAATATCATAAATCACATATTTATAATACATGTCAATGATTTAGTTTTAATTTCTCATTGTCAACAGTCGAAAAAAATAAGAAACATGATAAGACACACGATAAGACACATGATATTGATAGAAATTTGTCTGAAGTGGAAGGCTGGTTCAGTGATAAAGGCAGTGATAAAACATTTGTTCTTTGAGCAGACTGTCCTGGAGAGTGTAAGTCATTAGTCTGCTCAAAGAACAAATTTAAAAAAGTGTCAAAATCGCTATCACATTCAGATAGTACAGGCAATAAGAAAAAAGGGATCAATAAAAATTACGAAAATAAAAATTATTCAAAAAAGACTTCAACTTTGCATCCCAGTGAAATATAATGGAAAAGTGAAGCAAAACACGTGCTAGAATTCATTTTAGTAAATTGCAAAAATTACCACTGCCCAATGGAAGAATGTAAAAGTGTATGAGCTACAATGTACTGTATCAACTGCAAAATACATCTGTGCCTTGGTAAAATAAAAATTGTTTCAAAGCATATCATATGTAAATATAAAATGTCAAATAATGTACAAAAACAATCAAATAAACCATTTTTACACGAACGGAAAAGTTTGCATTTCGTATAGGTAGAGAACCATTGTGTCATATATGACACGTACCATTTTTTAATTACCAGAACAAAAATTTTTTAGAAAAATGACAATTTACTAATAAGTGACACCTAAAGGTCAAAAGCATAACAAAACTTCAATAAAAAAATAGTTTTTTTTCAGTAGTGGATCTCAAGAGATTACAGTAAATGATAATCATGTGTAACCGGTAAATAATTTACGAAGATGTACGCTTACATCAGTCGAAGCAGTTTAACAAATGATGCAAAAATAATTCAGCAACAAGCCCGCTATGCCTGAAGATTCCGAAATTGGTTGGAAAAATGTTTATTAGACATTAGTAACGTAGTATTGAAAGTTCTGAATTAACTATAATAATATTGAAGGTTTTTAACAAAGAATTTCTTATGATTAGTAATATTAAAACCGTGTCATTATAGGGTTCTGTTTTTCAACACTACGTAGTGCAACCACGGAACCACTTGCCATTTTTATTTTAATATTTATTGAGTTCAGGTTTTAAAATTACTGTATTAATCAAGTTTACAAAACAGAAACGGCAAATTTCATCAAATGAAGATGCACATGACTCAGGACGTAAAATGAACTGAATAAAAATTAATATAATAAATGCCAAGTGGCCGAGTGCTTGCAGTAAATAGTGTTGAAAAACAACATTTTTCCTTGTTTCGAAAATTTTTATTACATTTCTCTTTATTTACAAAAATTATTCAGTAAGAAGGCGATAGATTTTAGAGGTAACTAAACTGCTGAAATTTCGCTAACATGAGTGAAAAGTGATACTCTTCTATAAAAGGTTTTATTTTTGTTTATAACAGCACATTCTTATTTTTGAAATACTATATTTGTTAACAAACCACCAACGATTTCGTAATCAGAGCTCGGAAATAGGTGCCAGGTAGAAATAATGTGCAAAAGAGACTTGGCAAGAAAGTGACAGCTGAAATAAATAAATTCTTAAAAATTTATTTATTATTTTAGTTCCTCATTTAGTTACTCATTGTTTGACACGTCATTTGCAAACGTGTCACACACGAAAGTGTTCGTATGTCGTGATAGATTAATACAAATTCTATGTATATATGTTGATATCCTGTTGCATGTATTGATATATACAGAATTTCTATCAAACAACTCAAAACAACAAGAATACAATCGTGGTTTCTTTTTGCAACTCACAACGTCATAACTTAATTTGAAAACCAACGGTCCAAAGATCCATTTCAAAACACAATAGGTATAAATTGCTCATATGCAAAAACATAACTAACAACAGTGCTATTATCATCATTGTAGCAATAACCTAAAAGAAGTTATGCAGGTTTATGCTCAAATTCGATTTAATATGATTCAATAAGTTTTAGATATATTCGAATATTACAAAATATATTCACGTGCAGTCTTAAACATTTGATTTTCTAAGGAAATCCACAGTGTGACTATAAAAAATTTTCTCCAATTCACCAAATACGTTCTTCTGCAATTAAATTGAAAAAATTTAAAATTGAGTTTTCCCACCATCCGTAGGGCGAGTGCTAACTGCATCGGCACGTTTGCAATATTAACAAATTACCGATCATTACCTAAACTGACAAATGTAATTTGTACAGACCATGGTAACGAAAGTAAATACAAATTAAGTAGCAACAATCCCAAGATTCTTAAAAGCAATTGTATTAAAGTATATAGTATCGATAAACGTATCAGTGCTCACTAGCAAGCAAATGGTAACGTAAACATATACGGTACGTTTATCGGTACCATTTGTTTACTAGTCATCAATCATATATGGGTACCAGTAGCCATCCACATATAAGTGATGAATTTGAGTGGCAAGTGGTTCGTTAAGCAAAGCAATAATGTGTTACACGATGCATATCATTTCCTTCTGAAGCCAAGCTCCTTTGTGCTACTAATTAAAGAGCGCGATTCGACATTATTCCTTCCCTGGTGCAGAAATTATAAAATCTGACTTCTTCAGGCGTTAAGTTATGTGATTATATAAATCCCCGTGATCATCTGTATTAGGCTGATAAAAAACTGCTAATATAATGTCAACCATATGATGTCCTGACCCATCTTTACGAGTTGTTCTTTTCAAAGCAATGATGTCTCTGTCATGGTGTTGGAGGCGTTGTCATAGGCGTCATTTGAACTATTCATGTTTCTGAAGAAGTCCTTAGATACTGGGTTATCGGAATGTGATGACTGATTACTTGCATACATTGATGCATCCTAAAAATAATCGTGGTTTTCAGCAAAACAAAGAGTTGCCCCACCATGTTGTTGTTACCCAGAGATTGCTCGAGAAAGGTTATCCAAAATTCATAATTATTTAGCGGCCTCCACATGTCCACATATAAGGTCAATTGAATGTCTCTAGGATAACGTTGAGTTGAACATTCAGTTTGAAAAAGCTTTTACGATGTCTACGGAAGATTAAAAAAAGTGCTGCAACAGGCATGGCCTGTAATATTTTTATAATTCATAGAATTAATAGAATTTTTATATATTAATAGAATGAGAGTGCTATTCTGGCACATTCTGTCGATTGTGCCAGAATAGCACCCACATTCTATTAGTAGACGTTTCGAATAGTTTGATCAGTCAGTAAAAAACCTTCAATTATACAGCCTTTCATTTGTATTTTAAAGAACTAGAAAGAAGATTCTCCAAACAATCAGAGCCATTAAATGTTTTCAAAAATGAGATATTTTTAGGGCATTAATTGAAGTAGCACACATGAAACATATTAATAATTATTAACCAATTGCTCAAAACACTGAAAATTATTTCGTTACATAAATAGTTTGTATCGTTTTATATACTGTATATGTGCACAGATATTTGTTTTTTATATCATTAGAGTTTTTTTTTTAAATCTTTCTGCTCTTGGAAGGTAAGAAGACGTTTTTATAAAGTCTGTTTTGTGTTATATATACATCCAGAATAAAAAGACTGGATGACGAAAAACGAAGACAGATCATCTTGTAAAAAATTTCTTAAATTTCTCGACACATCCTAATTCGATCTAGGTCCCTCAGGCTGACATTTTAGTTGCTTGGATATCATTTTAGTTGCTTGGCCATCATTAAAATGTATACAGTAATACCCCGACTTACGCTACCCCGACTTACGCGAACCCTGAGTTACACGATTTTCAAATCTCGTCGATTCGCCGTTTGTTTGAGCGCCACGCAACCCTTGATTACCCACTCCCCCCCACACTATTGTTCAGTTTACATGTTCGGATGGGTCGCGCGGAATCCACAAATAGCTACAATTTATTTTGTGTTATTTATTTCTGTGTTTGTTATATCTACGGATACTCCAGAGACTCTACTATGTCATCCAAACGAAGTAAAACTGATTCTTCTGCATCAAACAAGAAAAGAAAAACTTTATCTTTGGAATGTAAAGTTAACATTGGGTATGTTCGTAAAGTCGAACGAGTTAAACGAGAATGACGTCATCGTTATTCCTATTTCGTTAGACTTTTCGAACGATTCGTTACTAACGCGTTTAACTCGTTTGACTTTACGAACGTACCCATTATTAAAGACTTCGATACAAAAATGAAAATTTGTGAATTGGCAAAGAAGTTTTATCTACCGGAATTGTCGGTCAGAACAATTAGAAAAGGCAAAGAAAAATTCTCGAAGCTGTAAAAAATGCTCAATCTTTAAATTCGAGCATCATTCGTAAACGTCACAGTATTATCGCTGAGATGGAAACAATGTCAAAATTATGGTGTGATAATCAAGTAAAAGTGAAAAATTGTAAAATAATATAGGCCTAATTTGTTATACATATGTATTATCTAAGATTTTATTAAACATTTTTTTCTAAATTATTGTTTTTTTTTTAGTCTCCGGCCCCAATTAAAAATTATTTGTATGTATTTATTAGGCGAAATTATACCCCGATGTACGCGGTTACCGCTCGGTCCCACCTATCGCGTAAGTTCGGGGTATTACTGTATATCATTTCATTTAATAAAGAAATATTTATGTAAGAAAAAAAAGAAAAAACATCTTTCATAGTAAATACATAAATACAAAGTATCGAGTAGAATATTTTGACAGAAATAATTATTACTTACTTGAGGAATGATGGATATTTTACTACGTAGATCCCGAAGACCTATTTCCTTAGTGTCAATTCCATCGATGGTAATTGTTCCCGTTGGCTCCGTCATGCGAAATAACGAAGCAATTATAGAACTCTTTCCTGCTCCTGTTCTCCCAACAATTCCTATCTGCAATTAATAAATAATAGAAACCATTTAACATAATTATTAAAATCAAGACTCATTGGATTGAAAATGTTTTACCTTTTCTCCCGAGCGAACACGAAATGTTATGTTTTTTAAAACAATATTTTTATCCTTGGAATATTGTAAAGAAACATTATCAAAATTAATTTCTCCTCTTTGTGGCCAGTCTGAGGGTGGCCGTTTATTAGGCAAACTTTCGTACGAAGCTTCCGATTTTAACTTGCTGTAGTTCAGTATGCGTTTAACAGAGTTCATCTGAAAAATGGAGTTGAATAACACAAAGTATAAAATAACAATATTTATTATCTGGAGTTATATATAAAGTACATATTTATTAAATTAACGATCGAAATGTTTTTATAGGAACAGGTGCAGTAAAAGTGGTTCACGTTTAGTTCTTTTTTCGTATGAAATTAATTACCTTTCATTCCCATTAAACTAGTTTAATTTACTAAGTATACTGAAATTTTAATTTTTTTCCATTAAAATGTGTGTAAATTTCTTGTAAAAATTTATAAATTCTGTATATCTCATATTTCAAGTGTAATTTTTGAATGAAAACAGTGCCAGGAAGATTCGAGTCACGCTGAGTAATATGTTTGATAAGTCGCGACAAAAGTTACACTGTATATTCAGATTTAGGTTGTACTGTTTATATTAATGATTGATCAAATCAAACAAGTATAGCTGCATGCTAGGCAAAAAATAATAAACTACAGGAAGATATATACATGACTTTATGAATATCTGAAGAAATATTATGAATACACATTAAATAATAGAGAAGTGAAAAAAATGATTTTATAATAAATTATAAAAATAAAATGCCTGAAATTTTGATGATACTGTATAATGAAAATAAATAGAGCAGAAAAAATACACGCAGACAATACTCAATTTATTTTAAAAATAAACATACTATCTACAATAATAAATAAAAAAAATATGTTCCTGTTCGAAAAAAAGTTGTTTTACATGATTAATAAACTATCTTTTAAGTAGAGAAGAAAGTTGTATAATGAAACCCCAAATACATTATAGTGAATTGTAAACAAGGTATCATAACTACACCCACACTTTTCGTGCGAAAAGTACTGGTAACTGTTAAACTAGATGTTCCTAATTGGATTTTTCGCTAGTGTAAGTAAAAGTATGGTTTTTGAAGGATTCTATACAAAAAGTCAGAAAGTAGGCTTAGTGAAAACCGGGTGGTAATAAGGAACCTTACTGTATGTTTTCAAAAAATGCTTTAATGTATCCAAAAACAAATAGGAAAGTACAAAGAATGTTAAATAATTAGAAAATCATTTACTCCAATGTATTTTAACGCAAAAATGATTTAATAATAATAAAGAAATGTACAATGAAGAAGATAGTCATTTACAAAAATCACAAATATAATGCTTCTATAGCGTTAGGTATCTATTTTTACTTTTTTCATTTTCTTCCTATTTTTTCATTCATCTACCACATACTTTTACAAAAGTTAGACGGATTCCGTATTAACAGCACCAATGGGGCCCGTATTTAACTTATCGCCATCTTGAATTAACTTATGTCTGTGGAGAGCAAACTTTAAAAAACGTGAACATCCACAGATTAATATGTACCCTTAAGTCTCTGGAACGGAATACTTGCACTAGTGAACATACAACTACACGATTTATATTTTAGAAATAATTATATTCACTTACCATTCAAAACTATCGAATTTCGAAAAACACAAATATGCAAATTTACTACGGACAACCGTTTAACTAAAGTAAAACGGGGTTTTCCCTCGCTATAAATGTCTACCTAGTGCAGTTTAGCCACAATACTCTACAGTTCGCCTTTATTATCAGCTTGAGATGGAGGGGTTTCGTAATACCTGCAGGGTTCCATAATACCACCTACTCCCTATATTAATTAAATCTGTTTATAAAAATAACACTGAATGAATTATGCATCTTATGGTAAGAAATGTAGTTAAAATGTTGTAATTGTTTCGGTACATTGTGATGACATTACTTTTCAAGTTTATATTCCAGGTAAGAAGCATACGGTCATAGAAGTAAGACTAACGTGTGACGAAGGATTTAAAATTGCTTTATAGTGGAACCAAAAATGTAAAAACCGTAAACAAAGATTTATGGAGAATTTGCTCACTAAATATTTTTTCTTTTTAATTATGTTTCGTTTCAGTTTAGTGATGTTGTTTTCTTCTATTTTTGGCTAAAAATTGTCAGTTTCTAAAACACATTTAAATTTTATACTGTATAATTGTTTATTACGTGAATGCTTTCGAGTGATGTTACGAAAAATTTATTTGTGTTAAAAATTTATTCGGAAAATAAATAATACGAATGACCGAAAAATAAAATGTTTTCGGTGCTTTTGATAATGACGATCTGTTCTTTAAATTCTAAACCTCTAATACCGTTAAATATAAAATATATTTACTAATTATTAACTAAATGATTAATTAGATTTTAAAGTATACAATACCTGAAGTATCGAAACAACAGTCAGTTTTATATATCAAGCTATATTCTGATGAAATATGTATAGTACAATACTAATAAGCTTCTCTTTTTCGAAAAATTTGATATATCTCGATATAGAAATCTGGCTGTTTATAAGAAATGTCAATTAATCATCGTGATTATTTTATAATTATTACCTGAAATTTAGCATCAGATCCGAATCTAATAACGTTTTGAAAATGAAAAATTAGTAGTAAGCCGTAGTTGAGAACAAGTCCAATTTGGCTTCCTGCATCATCTAATGTTGCAATTATAAATTCACAGTTACTACTCATATTATTGACCATTTATATTTAGATATATCTACTCACCTGCATTAATTAAAATACAGAAAATAATAACAGTGATAATTAGATTTATAAAACAAACAATTTGACCGTATAAGGTCATCCATCGACTTAAACCCACGAAAAAAAACCATGCTGCAGTATGCTTATCCAGATACATATTAAACATAGATTTAAATTTACTTTCTGCATGGAAAGCCCTAATGGTTGTAAGTCCGTAAAGAGATACACTGAGATGAGAGAATACTGGACTCCTCGCTATTAAAATAAATATCTATATATAATTTAATTATTTACGGGAAAAAATCTTAAATGCAAGAAATATTTGCTTATTATATTTAAGAAAGCAACTAAAAGTAATTATTATTTAAAATTAACCTTTTAAATAAAAGTATATGAAGCAACCTGCGACGATATAATTTATTAATTTTTAATATTCCTTAGTTTAAATTCAATTTGAAGATATCTTTTACGTAATGTTATATACCACTACTGTATATATATGGACCGTTTATTTTGAAAGTGGTGTAAGTCCATTTTTAGAAAAAATTAAGAAAACACATAATATACATATAATTTAGTGTGAACTTTTTATTTATAAACAATTCACTCTTAACAATTTAAAATAACCATAAGCTTTGATCAATTGAAAATTTATCGGTAAATGACATTGCGTAACCATTAATTTTGAAAGTGGTGTAAGTTCATTTTCTACAGTCTAAGCACTTGGGCTGTCCATAAATTACATGTGCATTTTTCTTGAAATTTTTACTTCCCCCTCTTGTCCCAGTTTGTCGAAGTTTTTGTAACCCGTATCCCTCTATGGATGTCCAACATAACTCTATCCCCGTTAAAGCCTTCATCACTTTATGAATGATAGATATCATAAGTAGAAATGAAACATACAACAAACATTGAAATAAATATAATAAAATGCATACTGTATAAAATTTATTGAATAAATGGATGTTTACTATTACTCAACCCCCCTTGTCCGACTTGTCTTAACCTCCTTCCTGCCTTTTAGTGTGGACAGCCCCTTACAACAGAGGAGTAAAACTATAAATATTACCAACAAATGTACAATTTGATGGAATGGAAAAAATCCATGTAATGAATCTAAATGAATAGCAGTGTCTAATGGTAAGCCCATAATAAAGATAAACTTATCATAAAATAGTTTAACAATAAGTAAATATTTTAATATTCAGAATAAACAATACTATTTTATTTCTTGTTATTATATATAAACAAAATCAGAATAAAACACAATGTGTTTCAAGTTTGAAATTGAGTTTTACATAATAGAAATTTAATGAATTTTACAGTTTAGTAATTATGAAAGTGGTGTAAGTCCATTTATGGCCCAGAAAGAATATATTAGTTTAGTTAAATTCACATAGAAGTCTTTATGCAATCAACTTACATATTTCTAAAGTCATAGAAACATTGTCAAACTTAGTACACTTTGTTTATATTTTTGAATCAACTAAAATGCAAATGTTTAAATATCTCGAAAGAAGAAAAAATGGACTTACACCACTTTCAAAATAAACGGTCCAT